CGTAAGGTAACAAATAGTGCTGATGAGCCAGCACATTGGTCTTTTTTTTAAAGAATATGTTTATTTTGAGGAATTTTGTAAATTACAGTAAACAAAACAGTACAATACAGAAGGACATAGAAGGCAGGGAGCATATACATCTAGTGCAAAAAAGACGTGGCCACCACCGTCTATCCCAAGGCACTTCAGTGCAATAATATTGATGTACCACAACATTACAAAACGTTCATATTATGCATTAATGAGCTTGTCTGTAAGCCAGGGAGAAATAAATAGCAACCTATTCAAATTGCCATAATCTTTCAAATGTACAGCCTCTTCTGCTGGTGAGTATTTTTTTGGTAAATAGAGTGGAAAAGAGTCCTTTTGTTTTCAAGAGTGCTGTGGGAAGTGGTTACATCTCAGTTTCTTTATAGTCAAGTCACTTGGGGAAGGGAATATTTTGTTTAATTTGTAATATGGAAAATGTTTGCAGATATTTTCCAGATTGGTTATTGTCTGAAACTAATGCGACAGTGCCGTCCGTCCGTTTTTCTACTACGGGCGGACGGCAACTGGTTAAGTTGCTACCCAAGTCGCACCACACTGGAACACACGACATTGCAGAACTGTACCTTTCAGTGCAGGCGAGCGAACTGTGGGTGGGTGACGTCACTCCGGTCCAGGCACCTCTACACGTCATGCAAGCGAGCTGTAAGCAATGCACGTATGGATGGCGCTCCCTTGCAGCCATACCCCAAGCCCACCCCACCTCTGGCTGACGCATGGCACCGGGCAGTATATTTTGAATGGCTGCTTGCTAGCGGGAGGATGAGTAGCCTCTTACCTAGCACTGTGGAAGGCATGCGACGACCCACTGAATACGAGGTGGCGACCCACCAGGTGAGAACCACGGCTCCAGACAGTTATTGCGGGAACCCCCAAAGTTCCCCAATCCTGGACACAAGGTCCAGTGTCCCTAATCTGGACAGAAGAGTTTTCACAACAAATCTGAAACACCTGTCTTTGAACTTTCTTCCTACAGGAGACCTTTTTGATGCACTAATTCTATCTGCAGTTGTTTGCTGTACAGCAGCTTTTCTATCATGGTTCCAAATGAGTCAAAACTTAATCATTAGCAGATGTTTTGCATTTTTCTACTTCTCTCTAGCTTGCCAAACAATCTTATGGAAAAAACATAGGGAGTACACTACAATAAATGTTTTCATTTTATGTTTGAAATCAGGCAAGCTTATGGCACTTTTAATTTCCATTATAAAGTACTTGGCTCTCCCTGTGACCACACAGCCACTGGAACTATGAGATATACCTGTATGTCCCATGAAACCCACAAGCCGTTACCATTCAGGATCTACGATCTGTTGCCCTGTGTCCTTCAATGAACGGAGAGAAAAGGATTTTACGGTGAGTACAAAAAATCCTATTTTTTCATTGTGGAGATGGTGCTCAGAGTTGGGTGTCATATAAAATCTTATGATTTATGACTGCAGTTTCACCTTGTGATGCATATTTTCTCAAGTGATTTCTGAACCGGGTGCTTCTAGTAAGGCATACACTCCTCACCCCACTCCCCAATAGTTACACAGCA